CTGTTTCTATACTCCGTGCATTGAGTTAAAAAACTAATGGAGGGAATCAAATGCTTGGCCAGACGTAGACCACGGGAACCAAAAGTGGCCTCTGGCTGTGATTAAAGTACCACACCACTTCCGTTATCATTAGCGTCTCACTTCAGTGGCGTAGAGATATAATTTTCTTTCCACTAATAGGAATAATAACAAAAAAAAAACGTATAGGAGAATACATGCTCGTGGTAAAGTAAACAAAATAGACAAGGATGGGAAAGTATGCAGATTTAATATAATCATTGATTACAAATCTAAATATACATCGATGTGTTCCAGTAGTATAATTAAGGCCAGTTTACTATAGCCACTACAACTTGACAACTCCCATTAAATTCACTGTGTTGATCAATAGCTACAATTGACTGGTTGGTCTCAGGACAACGGTAGAGAGATTCAATAATAATTTATTGTTTATTGGTCTCGAAATGTATCCGCACCTTAGACCATATAGTACATGGACTGCTAATTGTAACTAAAATATGGTCAAGGACATTGCCTGGGTATGTGCGTTTCAGGGTAAACGAGTCTGTCCGAAATTATCCGATGAGACACGATTTGAGGCTGTCAACCTATAAATTAACAAACGTCAATTAATTTATGGCCCAGATATGGCAAGAAAAGCAAACCTATTCTTATTTGTGGACGTGTAGAAGATAATCAAGATTATTTAAAGCTTCCCGTACTACGCGGTTACCATAAAAGCTACTCTACGCGATCCGAGTGGTGTTCATACGACTTTAGTTTACCCTGAGATTCACATACCCACGACTACAGTGCCCCCTATCCGTGACCACCCATTTTGTATTGAAAGCATAGGGCTAATAGCAGTCCATGTACTATATGGTCTAAGATCCGCACTCGTAAAAAAACTTACACCTGATATCCATATTATAAACTCACACGTTTAGCTGTAAAAACAAGTTTTGATAGTACCTACTGCATATTTGATGAACATTTTCCGGTGCAACCTATATGCTATATAGCATCCTTGGGTGCAACCTTTGGTCGAAATCACAGTCAATGAAGCGTTGTGAGCACAAAAGCAAATTTCGAGAGCTAGTCTTGAGATATATTTACAAATGTTAGGTAACCATTTTGCTCGAAGTACTGGTTCGTTTGGAAAACTAAGAAACATAAACTAGAGAACCTACAACCTCGCCTACAACATGATAAATGACATGTCTTACCGATGAAAGGAAATGCCCTGATTCTTCCCTTTATGAGAAATTTTGCATGATACGTCTGTCTGTGGCAACTTCCGTCTACAAAAATTCTTACCCCCTCTACCATTATATTCCCTCCATTAGTTATCTAACGCAATGACTCCGTGCAATAGTTACTATCCCAGTAGTAGGTTATGTTAGGATGATGAAATTCACTGTGTGTGTATATCTTAGACTATGAAAGAGAGGGGACCCGTAATAGAGAGCGCGCGCATGAAGCAAATTGCGATCATACTGCCACCACCAGTGGCGCCCGCTCGGGTATTACATTAGGAAATTACAATTTATTTGCCATCATGGTACGATTAACCTGTGTGTACAGTTGTCGGACATAATATTGGGTTCTTATTTGAATAGAGAGACAAAAAACGCGATAAATGTAAACATACGACTCGACTTTGATCGTTTTGGAAACTAGGTGCGCGATATAAACGCAATATTATTGAAAGTATACTTACATAAGTATGTAGATATTACCACATATACCTTTAGTAAAATTCTGCACACCCCGTTTTTGAAGCGATCAAAACTGAACAAGTTAAAAAGTAATCGTAAACGATTTACATAAAGCGCATTTCCACTTGCATTCATTTCCCATTTGTAAGATGCAACTTCTGTTAAAATCGTAAAAATCCGCCCACAAATATGAAAGATAGCGTTGCACATGGGCAATCCATTGTTGACGTGCTACTTCAATTTCAGTTTATGAGAAGAATTTCATTTCAATGCTTTTCTAAATCAGTAAGTTGGAGCTGCGCATGCGCAAACCTAAATTTTAAAACTAATGTTAGATTTTCTTTTGTTCCAAGCGCCTAAGTATCAAATTTCACTTAAATAGTTCCATAGATAAAAAAGTTGGCACTGCGCATGCGCAAAGCCAAATTTTGAAACTGGCGTTTGATTTTCCTTTATCCCAAGTGCCTATGTATCAAATTTCGTTTAAATTCTTCCATAAATAAAAAAGTTGGCACTGGGCATGCGCAAAACCAAATTTTGAAATTGGCGTTTGATTTTCCTTTATTCGAAGTGCTTATGTATCAAATTTCGTTTAAATTCTTCCATAAATAAAAAGTTGGCACTGCGCATGCGCAAAACCAAATTTTGAAATTGGCGTTTGATTTTCCTTTATTCCAAGTGCCTATGTATCAAATTTCATTCAAATACTTTTATAAGTAAAAAATTTGCAATTCGGTTTATAAATGGTCGAGATGCGAAAAGGGCACTGTGAATTTTGAATCGATTCGATTCAACTTTTGGCATTGCGTATTATATGGCTAAATCTATGCCCATATTGAATTTCATGCAATTCAGCTCATAACTAACGGAGATGTAAAAGCGATCGAACATTTCTAAACAAAGTTATCGTTCACACGGACAGATAGATGGACAGACAGACAAAGGAACAGACGGAGAGACCAACCGGCAGGCGACAGATAGCAATGCAAAATTATAAACGGTCTCTAGGATCGTAAATAAACGGCAAAAGTGTAAAATTATGGAACATGTAAAAAACGGTTTTTTGTTTTTTTTACAATAACTTTTTTTGTAAGCGGTACAGAAAAAATTCCTTCCTTGGTAAAAGACTCGACACCATAACGAACCAAATAGCGAAAAAAGTAGAACAATAGCTCTTAAGATAAAAAACTAGTAGCGTCGCAAAGTTAGCGGACGGACGGACGGACGGACAAAGTGGCCACAATAGCGCATTTTTTTTTTATTTTTGTGGAAATGCGCTAAAAAGGGTAAATTATAAATGCACACATCTTTCTGGCGAGGAACCCTGCAACGTATTTAACAATTTTTTCAATATTGCAGAGTTCATGCTTTTTGAACAATCATTTATTGCATATCTTCCACTTCTATTTCATTGTTCCAATTAATTGAAGCATTAATAATTTGTTCGTTGCTTTCTTGCGACGGACAAGTTATATAGAATAGGGATTGTATCCCCTATCTCACAACTCTGTTGTAATCAGCAAGCGTTTGTAGGTATATGCACTTTCAAACTGCCTTGAGGTGGGGTTGTTATTCTATCCATCCCTTGATCTTTTGGAAGAAGAAAATAATTCCAGATGGTCCTGGCTTAGTTTAGGATCCTTCGCAAAAAATACATTGTCGTTTCCCTATGGTGCATACTACCTGGGACACATTGAATCTTTTTCTTCCCGATATATCTGCTTGCTTAATTGTGAATGGCAGTTAGCGCTTCTGATGTGAATCCTGGGGAACAATTGCTTGATTTATAGGTACAATTTGCCGATGGTGCACACCAGTATCATACACTGTTCTGACATAATTTTCCCCTTTTGGAGACAGATCATTAGCTTATACACTGTTTGCGGCTAAGTGCGGAGAACCAGGTGATCATGCACCAACAAAGTACATAATGAACTGTACTTGATTGATACACTTCTTATCAGTTTGGTTGTTATCATGAAGGAAAATAAAGTACAACGTTAGTAAATAATCCTTATATTGAAAACTGTACAAATAAAATAAATGTACCTATATTCTTTTCCGAGTGAATCTTGAGGGCAAACGCAGCTGATGGTTTCAGAATGGGAAATTATTTCTAAACAAAATATCAACCATAAAATAGAATAAATGAATTGGAATACTCACAATTATACAGGCTTTGGCAATAAAGCCCTAAGCAGTTTCTTGTACTTCAGCTGTTGATAGCTTGATACTATAGCAAACCGTTGACGATGACGACGGTGATAATATTAAATTGAGATGTCTTCTCCCCTAGCGGGTTTAATCATAACGATCTTCCTTCAGGATATCTTGTCTTTATCGAATGTGGCGGCGATCGATGTGTATTGTTTCGAACATCCATCGATGACCTCTCTCTTTTTAAGACCCAATCCTATCTGTCGTGCGCCCTGCGCAGGCTACATGTAAGTACAAAGGCAACATACACTATAGTTAAACCAAAGAGTACCCTTACTCTTTGGTTAAACTGCTCCATACAAAGTAATCAGTCGCCTAAGGGTTAGGCATCCAACCATGTACATATTTGTTACGCGATGTAACTAGATGTCACGCCGCCACTGGAATATCGCTTGCACGTTATATCACTTGCTTACTGTAATCGAGAAATTATCAATGAAAAGAAGTATAAAGCAGTATTTTATTGATGCACAAAAATATAGGACAATTGTAAGATTATGAAAATGAAGACCTTAAAAGTGTTTTATTAACTACCATGAAGATTTAATTAAATTTAGTCAAACCAGACAACGTGCCGTTTTTTATCTTGCCTATTAAATGATATTCCTGCTGGACAACGACCACTGCAACTTTTACAGTTGTACGCAGAACAATTCACCACGTTTATATCACACAGTTTTGCACACACAAACTTTATCAATACTGAAGAAATGTCAATAAATTCACACTGCCACCGCGCTTTGACTGCCACCGAAAATATGGCGGTCGTCTCGAAATTCGCGTCAAATTCACACATGCCGTGGATGCGGTATTACGGGTCCCCTCTCTTTCCTTGTCTAAGGTGTATATGTGCTGTCACTCATTAGGTTATGTCCATTTTATACAAAATGATAATTTCCTGTCAATGTGCAAAACCTGGTTGCCAGATTTAGTTGTGGATTTCGTGGTAATTTTGTTATAGGTTAATACGTATAAATTTCATGAGAAACAACTTGCTCAATACGTTTCATACTTTATTGAGTAGGCAAATGGCTCTAATGAACATTATTAATTTAAAAAGGCTGTTATATATGAAATTATTTACAATTATAAGCTTAGTAATACCAGGTTGCTGGGGGTGGTCTTTATGAAATAACCACTTCCACATTTAAATGCCGATATGCTGGTCTAAACTTCGAGCAGCTTTAGTCTGGGGCTGGATCAGCTTTTGGAGATGCGTGGTGTAGATTCTCAGAAGATAACCACTGCTCGATAAGTCAGTACCATCGTACCCGAGATGCCCTCAACGACCGCGTTGATACTTAACTGCGCTTGAGTATAGTTCTTGCTTCCACGGTGCCATTGGAATGTTCTTCCTTGGGTCTTTTGTTTTCCGTCTGTGCTGTTTGATGATTAGTACATTTCTGTTAATCTTATTTCCGGCGGGTAGCTTACTATTCTTTGGGGAACCTCTTAGTCTTAGAGCAGCTGCCTGATGGTGTCTTGCTCTCGCATTTCTTCTTGACATTGTGTTTAATCAACCAATCCTGCATCTGATCCTTTTTCCAATTACGTGAGGGTAATTTTTCCAACTGCACCGAATGATACGGTGCATTGTCCAAGATCACCACACATTTACCTTGAATTTTGTTCAGAGCAGGAAGTAATTGATTAACCACCCAATTTTGGAAAATCTCCCCGTTCACAGTTTTATGATAATCCCTATCGTTACTATTTGAAGTTTGTAATAGATTACACCCTTCCAAAAATCCAAAACGAGACCTCGCATGCAAAACAGTAAAACGCTTCCGTTCTGATTTAATTTTAGACGGATTACTTTTAATTTCAGAATCGTGTACCCATTTTCGGACGCTGGATCCATTTTGAAAAATCCAAGTTTCGTCCAGATACACGAATGTTATATTTTCACTTGAATTTTGATATTGCAAGAATTTCCTCAAAAATGTAATTTTGGATGCAACATGTTTTTGTTCACAAAGAATTTTACGTCCATTTACGTGTTTGTATTTATAACCCATGGATTTTAGAATGTTATATAAAGTAGTTTTCCCCTTATCAAAATCAAAATTTTCCCGCGCGCCCTTTAGTAAGTCAGCCAAAGTAAAGTGTTCATTTTTCGAGTGATAATTCCAAATCAGTCCTTGCAAATCTTCCCCAAATGAAAAATTTTTATACATAATATCAGTTTTAGGTCGTGGGCCAAAAGGTTTCAATTCAAAAGTATCCAGCCGGGTAATTCTTTCAATGGTTTTTTCTGATACCTAGAATAGTACAAACCCCAAAATTAGACCAAAAGTTAAGTTCAATGCATAAATACTCACATCCCAAATGTCACTAAGCCGGGCTAAGCTTTCCGCTTTCCTTAGGTCTGGCCTGTCTGCTTTATAAGGCTTGTAGGCTTTTAAATTTCGCATTTTCGCATCTGAGTATGATTTTCGGCATATTTGCTTAATTATAAATCACAATTGACTGATACGTATCCATGACGCCGATATGCAAACATATTCGATCTAGTGGCAAACAAAGTGTTAAAGCACTGACAACATTGCACGTTTAACCTCAAATAGTCAAATTAGACATTCCTGTACTTCACAGCTGATTCTGATAGGGAGTTTTAATTTTATTAAACAAAAACAAAATTCCATGGCTACCTACTTGGACAATAACTATTGAACGGAGTATATGTTAATTAGGTCAAAACGTTCTCCCCCGATAGAAATTGGGAGACACTGTACAGTTTGGAATTGGCCCAAGTCAATCTTATCTCTTTTCTTTCTCAAATTGAATCAGGCTCTTGGGGGAATACTTTTCAAAACAGTAACTATTTTTAGTGACCGGATTTGTTGACGTTTCGAAATTGTTAATTTCCTTTAAAACTAATATTTGTGTCTCTAGTTGTGTCCCCTAAAAGGGAACAATTTGATTTCAATCTCGGATTAAAACCAAATTGCGTTACCCTTGAAATTTATTAAGACTTTTACTTAGACATTAGGTAGTCCGTAGTATGCATATTTTGTGAGTAGGTATAGAAAGTAAAGTTTTGTTTCCTAGTATTATGGCCACAGATATAACAGTTCCGAACTCGAGTTTTACGCATTTTTCAGGATTTGCAGAAAATTCCTGTCAATTAAAAAACTAAGTTTTCTGTACGCCAGGCGGACAGGCAGAATAAGACGATTATGAATTTGATAATCGCGCTATAAAGAAGTTAATATTGTATTTATGAAAAACAAATTGTGTTCTTGAAACTTACGAAAGCTTTACTTTAGTATAAATTTTTGATGAGGGGAAAAATCAAAGTTTTGTCTCGTCGCATTAGAGTCATTAGAGTCTTTGGTGTCATTAGGAAGTTTGGTGTTTTGATCGACTCATACGTTTCATCAATTTATTTTTAAGTGAGTGGTTGGTAACGTACAGCTAAACTATATATTCATTAATCATTATGAAGCACAGTTTATTAGTCATTTTATTTTCTGTGGCAAGGGGAGCTTTTCTAAAAGAAAGCGATACTTCATCGAAGAATGCTTGCCTTGAAAAATTAATTTCCAACACTTTTTCCGATGCGTTCACATTAAGTGTCATAACCGATGATAGCGAATTGTGTGATGTGGTTTTGAAATCCGCGGATCCGAAGACCATATTAAACGTAAATGGAAACTTAAGTGGTGACTACGCACTTTATCAGCCGAACGATGTAGTTCTGTGTTCAAGCAATGTATCAACACACTTTATCGAATTGCTTCGTCAAATTATAGATCGAAGGTTGCGCCTAACGATAAAGGGGGCTGGAAATTTAAACCTATTACTAATTCTGAAGATTCATAGCTTAAATATACGTTGGTTGGTACGTCGTTTGTGGATGATAGGTCTGCCAAATGCTTTGATTTACTCGTATGACGATGAAATGATTTACACAAGTGAACGTTTTCAGTTGGAGAACGCCTGTGGGACTAGAGCGAATAATGTTCATCGCGAGCGCTGTTCTGATGGGTTACAAATTATTGGGAAAAAGAAATTGAACCTAAATAGATGTCCAATTGCCTGTGCACTTGATGAGACATTTCGTAGCCAAGACGTAAACGAATCTCTTAACTATGCGTATCAATTCTTTTTGTTAGAAGCATTGACTTTTTATTACAATGGTACCTTAACGATCACGCAAATGCTGGACCGAGAAATAGGAAAACACTTTTTAAATGTGATGAATATAACTTTGTCTAGTACCCATGATATATTTCGGTATCCAAGCGTTATGACATCGCCCATACACACAATTCCTACGGTTTGGTTGGTGCCTCATGCACAACAGCTTCCACAAATGGACGCCTTGCTTGGTACTTTCCACAAAACCGTTTGGTTACTGATTGGAATTTCCTTCGCTTCTGTTACTCTGACGTGGTGGTGTATTTTATCATGGCAGAAACGACGTTTTACCTTCCACCATTTTGCAATTGCTTTGACAAATGTATCTTCGGCGACAATTTTCGGTTCCGTTGCTACAGTTCCAAAATCTTTTATTCTTCGTTGTGTTCTTATCACTTACATAATATACATCATTCACATAAGCTGCGGTTTTACGGCGAACTTCACCAACGTTTTAACGGTACCGCAACATGAGATGCAGATAAGTAATTTAAAACAACTAGCAGCATCTAATCTATCGATATACGTGTATAAAGCTTTTGCGGAACGCCAGTTTAATCAGAACGATAGCGGTCTTAACCTGTACGCAAAACTAAAAGCGGCTTTGGTGTATGTAGAAAACGAAGACGATTTCATAAATGCCTTGGATCATTTGCACACTTACAGGAATTGTGCAATTATAACTTCGTACGAAGATGTGATTGTTTCAAAACAAAATAGAAAATTGCCTGAAATCTTAATCGAAGGCTTTCCCATTGAAGATAACACGATGACGGGTGAGTTTATTTACCGATTGCAGCTTTGGCCCAACCACTACTTTCGGGCGCATGTCGATCGCTTTATGGAGAAAATTACAGAATCTGGAATTGAAAGTAAATTTAAAGCAGACGCAAGCACAATTTTTTTCACAAATTCCATCCTTCAAAGTGATGACGAGAATGTGGTGATTACATTAGGTCACTTGATTTTCGTATTTGTTTTTTTCGGGATTGGAATTTGTGTGCCATGTGCAGTTTTCGTTGTTGAAGTTTTAATGCACCGGTTCCACAACGTTTAATCGTTATAGTGCAAATGTTGACAACTTATGGGAGCTTCTACTTGTTTCAGCACTTATTGCCTGCACTTTTCGAGAAATTGGTATAGGTTTAAGCAGGTGTTGTCAGTACCTTATCAACATCTTGTTATTGTTAAATAATTGCAAATGTAAACATGTATAATAACGCACAGTTTGTAGAGAATATCAATGTACAATCCTTATGTTCACGCAAATATATATATAGCTTCCGTTTTGCCAATGAATGTTGCACGATAAATTCTCCCAACTGCACCTGTGGTAGCAGTATGAAATTTCACCGAGTATTACTCATAGATGGGAAGGGGGAAACTGTTCTCGTCGAAGTAAGACAATCCCAACACCAAATATATAAGAAAACCCTCCCTCAACAAAACTCGTTGTGACAGAAAAGCTGTCATACATAACCTAACAACTGAATAGAAGGAACCAAGGCACATAATAAGTCCAGGCTATATAATATTTTTTGACACCGCCGTTACCGGGCGAAGCCGGGTTTTTCAGGCAGGTGAAATGAATAGAAATTGGGAAAAAATAATTAAAACAGCTGAATTTTTCCGCGGGTGAAATCACGGGGGTTGAAGGGGTGGAAAGTGGTGTTTTGCAAATTGTGGCAAAACTATTAATTTTAACCGAAAATGTTAAATGTAAAAGTTATAGAGATTAAAAAAATGAGCAACTTTTGTATCTGCACTATTTTCACATAACCTCCAATTTTCCTAGAAAAACCGGAAAAACTGTTTTTTTCGTTTTTTATTATTTTTGCGAAAAAAATATCGTAGGGGTTTGAGATTTGGAGGAAACAGCTTGTTTTATAATAAAAAAGAAGATAATTTTTTTGGCCTGCAAAGTTGAACCGTTTCCAAGATCTCGCGATTTCTGGGAAAAACCACCTCTTTTTCGAGGGGATGAAAAATCTATTTTTTTCATCGTACAGAGGTGCGCGGGGTAGCAAAAGTTTCGGGAAGGCTTATATTTTAATAAACAAAGATAAAAAAATATTCCTATAGCAAAAATTCGAGAAAATCGCCAAAAACTGGAAAAACGGTTTTTGACATGATAAATCAACATGGGTGTTAATAAAGATTTTTTCGAAATCTGTCTTCTTGCTTCTTTAATGATTGCTTAAATATTCTCTTTTGTTATCTTATGCTCAACTGTTTTAGTTAAAACATCTTTATTATTTCTTTTTTCTGCATTTTTACCGCAATAAAAGCAATTCGAAATAAAATCGGATTATCTTGCTTCCTGATTCCTGAACAATTTCTTTTTGTTCCCTGACTCTTCTTCCTGCATGTTTTATGCTGATACAATTGCGTTGGGCCTGTTGATAAACTTGCAAAATCTGCAATAAGAACGTTAGTCTTACCGGCTAAAGCAAATGATTTGAGATGTAAAACCTGCCTGAAACCTGTAATAAACTTTATGAGGATTTTATTCATAATTCCTGTAAATTAACGATCAACGAGCCCAGCTTATTCCCTTCAGCTGTAAGACAGGCAGGAAGAAGAGTTAGTGAACAAAAACAAATTGTTCAGGAAGCAAAAGAATTCGATTTTACTTCGAATTGCTTTTATTGCGGCAAAAATGCAGAAAAAATAAAAAATAAAGATGTTTTAATTAAGGTAGTTGGGCACTGGGAAATAAAAGAACATATTTTAGCAACATTAAAGAGGGGAGAGAAGACAGATTTCAAAAACTTTTTATTAGCGCGGATCCAATACGTCAATTTATTTGCAAAAAAAGCTATTTACTTACTGTCAAAAACGGTATACCTTAAAACTGTTCCCTCGGTTTTTGCCGCTTTTCTTAAAATTTTTCTATTGGAATAATATTTTTTATATTTCATTATTAAAATGTAAGTCGTTACGAAAATTATGCTACCCCGCGCACCTCTGTACGATGAAAAAAAATAGATTTTTCATCCCCTTGCAAAATAGGTGGTTTTTTTCAGAAATCGTGAGATCTTGGAAACGGTTCAACTTTACAGGCCCAAAAAATTATCCTCTCTTTTATCATAAAACAAGCTATGTTTCCTCCAAATTTCAAACCCCTACGACATTTTTTCGCAAAAATAAGAATAAAAAACGAAAAAAACAGTTTTTCCCGTTTTTCTAGGAAAATTGGAGGTTATGTGAAAATAGTGTAGATACAAAAGTTGCTCATTTTTTTAATCTCTATAACTTTTACCTACATTTAACATTTTCGTCTAAAATT